GTTCCATCGAGATGGCCTCTATGATTTGCGAGTGGTCTGGTGGTTCAAAAAGAAATGATGTTCCGAGCGACCGGGACTCGCTGTCTATACGGAATCCACTGGTGATCGGATTGCCGTCGTAGTTGGGTACTACGAGTTCAATGCAGAGGCGGCCTGTGGAACGTCGTATCCACATCGTAGACCCCCAATAATCCTGCAGAAATAATAGCAGTGAAAAATGCAAAAGTACTGCTTCAACGCGTTGCTCACCAGCTCTGTCTCTGAATATGATTTCATATAATAGTAGGCATTCTATCCGGAGGGACCAACTAAAAATGGGAAACATAAATTACACAATTCTCGCACAGTGAACTCTGTTTCCTGTGAGAATATGAGTCAAGCGGGGTAAACGAAGCCTAGTGGAAGTCTTTACTAGCTGATCCCAGAGATATACAGTCGCCAAATGGGACCCACTGTGCTTCTGGAATATTTGTTTTGCAGGAATCAAGTCTAATTATTGTCCTCAGAATAATCAGTTCGCGCAGTACACAAGACACTTCACGAACCGTCATGAAACACAGCAGCATGTATACCAGATGAGCTCGCCGTGCCATAAATCTGTACGAAATTTGGGTGGCTACTGAAATTAGAGATGAAGCCTTTTTCCGTGGTATTAACCCACCGAAGGCACGAATGCCGTTTAATGTACTCCCACCATTCCTTTCAAATACAATTAACTTGCATTCAGTAGGATGGTAAAACGCACCATTTCAGCATTATTTCCCTGATACAGGGCCACCGTCATCTTTGAATCGATGCCGGGTACGCGAGCGGAACACATCCGCCTCACGAAAGCTTGTTGTCGATTTCCCCTGCGATATGCAACCGAGGTGCAGTTGTCCAGGCATAGTTCAGCACGAAGATCTAGGTCCCCCATCGGGAGTCGGCGATAATCTGTCGAAATCTCAAAAACTCTTCCTTTACAATTAAATCGTAGTAGTGACCGGAAGGAACAGGACGATTTATATTTGTAAAATTTCCGCCCGTTACCACGAAATGCTGTGCGTTGGGGAAGAAAGCGCCTGGAGACCTGGAAGGCCTTCGGTCTCTCCAACGAGAAGGTGACGATGCGGCACATACTCGGTTTCTCCAGGTTCGCTCTCGTCGGTCGATCCATCGTGTAGCTCGAGCTCAGAGTGGGCTTCGTTATCCATGGATGGTGGAGGTAGGAAGGAGAGATGTTAAGCGCTATAACAGCATTGCGACCTATGAATAGTTTCGAAGCTGTGGAGAGTTTCTCACGATGCTTTGTCGAATTATCGTTTTGTTCCTGTGCAGTGATGAGCAAGAAAAAGAAAACCACTAGCAGTCGGGCCGGGGGTGTGGACGGTATCCTCTATGGAGTGCGTGAGCGACGCGACTTCGATATACTGGAGCACGGGTGAGCGGAGCGTTGGATAGAGGGTGGGCCGAATACCGAAGAGAGATTAACGTCAAGGCCTGCTGTGCCCTCAGAGTCAATGTGCCTTAGCGAGGTCGGCGTTGGAGAAGAGAAGAGAGGAGCATTGCGAATCAAACTTATTGTCAACGTGTACTCCGAATTGATCCGGCTCGACAGTTCACCACATGTTCGTGTTTTTGGTTCGTGTCCCTTCTTGCCACTTCCGAGCTTCTGTTACTGTACGGAACCGCTCAACTCTCCGCAGCCTGTCGCGCTTCACTTTGAGCACTGAGGGACTCCGCAGGCCCCCTGAAACTTTCTGCTAAGATTTCAACGAGGGGAAAAAGAAAATGGCCTCAAAATTTAAACACCATCCAACAGCGAGATTCTGGGCCCACCTTCTGACAGAGCTCGCCATGCGAATTTACTGCTCCAGCGCGTCGTTTTTCTTCTTTTGGGGGTCTCCACACCGAGCGCGAAGTTTGGCGTATTTCAACCTCGCTGACTCCACAACGCAACCCAGGAGCACCAAGAATTGCACGTCCCACCGGCGGATCCATTTATAATTGTCCCGCGCTTACTTACTTCCAGGGGAGGTCGTATATAATATCGGCCGGGCAGGCGTGCTGGCTTTTCAATTAACGTGGTTTTATGCGCAGATAACATAGACACCAACCTGTCATACGCTTGCGGAGTGACCCTGGATATGCTTGTGTTAATGTTTCTAAATTCCTTCTCTGATCCAGAAAATACACCTCCATTGCCTGCCCTTCATACCCCCCGGAGGATTCGAACCTCCGGCTCCTGTTCATATTTGATCACCGACTCAAATGCAGGTTCACAGCTTCGAATTATGTGAAATGGGTTCGTGCACGAGAGCTGACATACGTAGCTTGAACCTGGATAAAGTCCTGTCTTTTTTCACAATTTTCACATGCAGCTGAAAGACGAATCACGAAACTTGAAAGTGCGGGGGGATTCGAAGCTGAAGCCGCAACTATTTACTTGCTCGTCATCCAGACCACGAGGCTTCTTGTCGGACCTCAATATAAGCCTCCTCTTGTGAAACCAAAACAGTCCTCGCTAGTCGTGTTGATGCATCCGGCATCGAATAATATAGTTAGTATGTACTCGCAAGAATATGTACGTCCGCGGAGCCGCACGCAGCATCCCAACGGGACGCGTGAATATTAATGCATTACAAAACGGTCGCTCTTCTCTTCTCTTCGCTCCTCGTAAGATAATTAGCCCTCTCCTCACAAGATAGGTAACCTAGTCTCAAAATAACGGTTAAATTAGCCCCAAAACGGTACCGCCGGCTCCGCGGCGCCGTCCTCCTTCTGTTTCTCCTCCTTCTCCGCCACCACGAGATCGACATCGCTGGAGCGCGACGTATCAGCAAGGCGGATCGGCACGCCCATGCGCAGCGTCCCCATCGTCCCGGTGCCGGCCGTCCCGAACCCGTGGTGTTGCCAACGAAGTGGATCGAGTCCGAGTCGGTGTTGGTGCTTATGCCGATGACGGTGGACTCGAGGTTCGTGCGGTCGAGCGAGACGAGGAGGGCGATGATGACGGGGTAGATCGCCTGTGCGACGTTAGACACCGAAAGGCGAAAGAAAAAGAGGGAGAAGGGCGCACGGAGAGCTGCGAGATCATATTCACGACGATCTTGTAGCCCGTGGTGTCCTCGCCCTGGTTCGTGAGAATCGTGTACAGGAAGGGGATCTGGTGTGCGTGAACAGATAAGTACACGAAGAACATCGCGGACAAGGGAAGGCGCACCCAGAATCCCGGACTCGGTGAGGAAGACGAGGATGCGCTCGACCTTCGTTTTCTTGTTCTTCGGGAGGTCGATCTGCACCTTGATCTGCTACCGATATTGCTTGCAGCGCCAATTCACATGAATGCGCGGGGAGGCTGGCCACAATGGATACGCACCACATTTTGTAGGCCAGGAGGTAGGTGGCGACGATGTTGGTGACAAACAGTGGCAGGACCATGATGTCGAAGTTCTCGTCGCCGAAGAGCCACAGCGCCCCGAACGTCATGTGCGTCGTCGCTCCAGCCGGCGCACGATATAAGTAAGTAACGGCACATTATAACAAGGGAGACTGCGACGCATCCAAGCTGCCGAGCAGACATAGAATGAGCACTTTGAGGTTGTTGTGGTAGAGTATCCATGCGCCCCAGCAAACGATCGCATCGCTCATGAGGTACTGTGGTGCTTCAGACAATAACCCAGAGCGAAGATGGCAGGAAGGGTACGCCCGAAGCGCCGCTCGAGTACAACGTGTTCGTGCTGGATGCGGACGTGCGGGAGATGCGACGCGCGCTGCCGGAGCTGATGATGCGCGTGTTTGAGGACGGGGAGCGGCGTGTGCTGGAGGCTGGTGATAATGCTGGTGCGCGGGCGCCGGGCGCTTGGAGGCGATGCAGTGACCCGGCCGAAGGCATTCAGAGACAAACGAATGTCGATCAGTTTCCGCCCGATGTTTGGGGCTTGGCGCCGAGGGTGAGCAGCTGGAGGACTTTGAAGGCCCGCTGCTCGACGACCTGCAGGTTGGAGGCAACGAATACGAGGAGTGGCGCGGCAAGGAGGGGCTTCCGCGCATACGGCCCCGCCTGGGCGTTGTGTGTACTGCAATGGCACGTCAACTGCGCATCTGCTACAGAATCGCGGCGACGCACGTTAGATTGTACGGCGTGCTGCGAGCGCACAAGCACTTCTCCTCGCGACAGCAGAGCTTGTGAAGGCGGCTGAGATTGTATACGCTGACCGCCTAAGAGCGGCGGTGTCTGGGGTGTCTTCAAGCTGGGAAGTTGTGGAGAGTGAAAGCGGCACGCGTCTCTCCATTCGGGACAGGGGAACATCGACACGCTACACCTGCGCCGCGTGCGCAGGTCGGGGAGTGGCCGATAACTGAAAAGATCTTGCGGAGGTGACATGGACGCATTTAGTGCCAGCAGCACGAGTAATTCCTGGATGCCATTGGTCCCATCGTGTACTGCGCAGGAGTGGTGGGACCGAGTTCGTCGTTTGAGGAAATGGCGGTGTGCGGATCAAACTTATTGCAAGCAATCCGAGTTGATCCGGCCCAAACAGCTTCCTCAGCCTTGCTGCTTACTCGCACAGTCTTCATGGAAATCGACACAAAGAGCATCTAATTCTCCTGGTTGCAGACTCTGATGAGGGCCTGGCCGGAAGCCAGATCTCAAAAAAATATCTATCCATAAACTTTACTTGCACACGCGCCCGCTTCGGATGCCCATCCTGGAATATTCGTGGTGCAGTGCACAGAAGTCTACCTAGTTCTAGCTGGGAAAGAAAAGGTCTTCGCCAATTACATTGTGTATCGTTGAATCCAGGCAGAGGATACCAACTGCCGTGATCGAAGCCTGAGTATGAGGCTATATGTCCTTCCCTTGCACATTCGGACCGCAACCTACCCTTATAATTCCCACGTCGGCAGCGCGCGAAGGGCTACCCTCAGTTATAACCTGTGGTACGAGCTCACAGTCCCGGTCCCTCCTCGTCCACGGCATAAAAGCTTGAAAAGAAAAATCCGTTACACCGACCTTATGCTCTTGGGGGGATTTGAACCTCCAACTCCCACTTTTATTGTTAGCATTCAAGCATGCGCAATGGGTGATGTACCGTCTCATCTAAAAGAGCTATTTTCCATACCTCTGAAATATGCTGGTTCATGCTTTTCTTGCATGAGAAAAATTGCAGTTCGCCGTTACGGGCCTGCAGCTCGAGGTTCATATCCCCGCCTCCCATTTAAAACATTATGGATCTGTGCTTATGTGCACTGGGGGATGTGCCGATTCATCCACGAGGGCTGTTTTTCTTTTTCGTTTTTAAACCCGACAATGAGCCCCTTCTTTCTTTCGCAGTTCGGCCGATATATGCTCTCTCGGGGGGTTCGAACATGCACGTCCCATTAGGCTGAGAATTCATATTGTTTTCTCTCCCTCTGAAGCAAGAATAGGATCCTGATCGACGAGGGCTCTTTCCCTACCTCTGAGCCTGGATATGAATCATGACATTCCATGGTCTCAACCCAGTTAACACAAAAGTCGAAATTTGCTTCAATTTACCACAAAACAGTTCTAAAATCCGTGTGGTTTAAATTGGATTGACGGAGGTGTTGAAGGGTTCAGTGGCAAGAGAATAATTGCATTCCTGCCACTGGAAACGTGTTAAATTTCCATCTTAATTCCATTGAACGTGTGGGTTCGACCGTGTGACTTCATTGCGTTGTTACGAGAACTGTTCAACTGCCGTTTGAAAGAAAGAAAAGGTGCTGAAGGCAGTCAATATCCTACATTCTAGTAATACATTCCTAGTGCATACTTTACAGCATATAGTGTCCATAGATAGAAAATAGAGCCGAAATAATAATGCCTGTGAATTGTGCGCCAATGACAACCTTCCAGTTCAGGGTTGCTTCAAGCAAATCTGCATCGCCCATATGGCAGGAGGACTCATTTGGCTCTGATAGTGTGTGAATGCTTTGAATGCGGAGCAAGGGGCTGTCACCGGCGTTCTCGGCCAAATCCACTCCTCCCTTAACCGTGGGAAGGTGGCGGTGCAAGACCCTAAGGGATTTGACCGTTTTTTAAAACCTTGTTGCTATTGTAGTGCACAACCTCAGGAGAAAAATCAGTCTTCTCGCATTCACCCACTGCCAAATAATTTTTCTGGGTGCCAATATCGTGTCGCTGCAAAATCCCGTTGGGTCCTGCACCGCCACCTTCCCACGAGGCTAAGGGAGGAGTGGATTTGGCCGAGAACGCCGGTGACAGCCTCTTGCTCCGCATCCAAAGCATTCGCACAGTATCAGAGCCAAATGAGTCCTCCTGCCATATTCCTGGCAAGTTCATGAAGTGTGAGAATGAGTACATCATGTACGCCTACACTTCGATGAGATCTTAGCACAATTAAAGATGTGATTCGCCTGGACAAGCCAGGCCCAACTCTCGTCCGATCCACTAAAGATGCGAACAAACTCTCCCTCCATGCCGAGTGTCGCTGGAATTGACCCTTTGAAAGGTCAATGTTGTAACAGGCATAACTAGCAGCAACGAACCGAGTCCAACTGCCTTCCAAAACGTAGCACGACTCGGCGTTAGGGGGCCACCAGCCGAAATCCATAAACTGGGATCATACAGGAATGCGACCTTCTGTGCAATTTCGCAGCCAGTTGGCATGCACACCACGTTCTCCAGGTGAACCGATGCATTCGTGGACACTCCCTGACTACTGACATGCGCGAAATACCAGCGGCATACCTCATGATAATGTTTCAGTGAGATGACCTCTATGATTTGCGAGTGGTCTGATGGTTCAATAAGAGATAATCAGGCCCGAATCCGCCCCAAAAATAGCGGATTTGAGGGCCATTTTGGCAGTTTGCGCGGACCTACCTTATGGGGGGCCTCAGAGGACGTCTGATAAAGAGCTTCACGACCCAACAAAAGAAGCGTAAGACCATGCGGCACTGTTGGGGGCTGTAGTCCGGGATTAACCGCATTCTCGCACGACACATTACATCAAAATCCACACACATTCGCCGGCATCAGCGACACATTGATCGCAAATCAGCGCAAAATCAGTACGCGCTTTAAACTCTGATCAAACGGCGCCGCAGGCGCCAGCACCACACAGTGCAGTGGCGCCACGCAGTGGATTATAGCTGCGTGTGCCCGGCTCCGCGCCCAGCGGGCGGGGTCTGGGGTGGAAGTCTAGATTTTCTCAAGTACTGCCGTAAGTATTTCAAAAACTCGGATTTAGTTGATTTCCGATGGCATGTCGAATAGCCGTAATAATATCTGGCATGTTGAATGCACGGTTACAACATGTGTAAACGGTATATAACGCACAATTCAGCTGTCGACGATGGTACAAGTGACCATGGGCCTTGAAGATAAGATTGCTATTGTGAGTATGCTCCGCTCCAGCCTCACGACGCTATTCCACCGGCTAACCTTTACGAGGTTGGAATCGCCGCACAGCTGCCGTCGGGGGCCTGTTCTCCCGAAGACTTTGATTACGCGTCATTCTGGAATTTCCTCCTGGCCGGCGGTACGGCCCAGGAACCGCTGAAGAATGTCTTGCCCGATTTCATCCAGTATGTCAAGTATGTTCTCGTCGTGAGAGCGTGACTCTCATTGCGCATGTGTTAGAGTTATGCCGGAAGTTCAGGTTCCTATCCAAGGGCCTTTCTGAAGAACGCTACGAGCTTCGACAACCTCGCGTTCGGGGTCAGCACCAGAGATGCGCGCGTCACCCCTTACAGTGCGCGGCGTTGGTTGGATCTGGCGTTCCAAGCCCTCCAGGATTCCGGCATCGAGTACCGGGGGCAGAAAATAGGTTGCTTTGTGAGTGGAAACAGACCTCAGGCCCAGGTGATTTATTTCATGTTTCTCGTTATTTTATCTGACGAACAAGACGATGACCGAACTTTGGGACGGGGATGGGAGTTTCTCTTTCGTTCCATCTGCAACTGCGAACCGGATCTCTTATGCCCTCGATCTCACGGGACCTTCCGTATATCTGGACACCGCCTGCGCTTCCTCCTTGACGGCATTCCACCTCGCCATCGGCGCAATTGAGAAAGGTGATTGTTCCGCAGCACTGGTTGGA